ACACTGCAGTGACAGGAGTGTGTATTTTTACCTTTTCAGTCCTCACAGCACTACAAAAGCACAGCAGATATGGTGAAAGGGGAATGAGGACTTTAGCATCCTCAAATGTTTATGCAACACCAACCTCGAAGTCTGCCCCATTCAGAGCAGCCCATTCCAGCTGAAATCCAGCCCTGCACACCTGAGGAGACACCTGTGCCCTGGAAAGCTTTGTCTGACCAGCAGAATCTTTCTACTTCTACCATCACCAATGATATTTCAGATTGAGCTAACTGGCATTTACTCAGAAAATTTCCTCTTGAAATGGTGAGGCAACAAACACAAAACTCCCTAGAGTGATTTTCAGAATGGTTTTTCTTTCTTCACTCCAAATATCAAATCAATGTTTGATCTTCTGATCCAACAGTTTTGTGTAGCATCCAAGTTAGAAATGGCTATAGCTCAACAATCATTAAGCTGTTTAATTATTCATCAATTAATTAATTAGTGCATGGATGATTTCTTACATGAAGTCTTGCTTCAGGACAAGATGCTCAAAAGAGCAATTAAAAGAAAGTACTCCTGGTGCAAGTATTTCTAATTTTGTCCTGAACTGACACTGGAGGATTCCTAGCAAAGCCATCTCTTCCTGTTCTCTGAAGAGCAGGCCAGAGGCATAGTCCCAAACCAGTGGGAATCTCTTTTTATGGTGTATTTAACTGGCAGCTCAAACTTCTTTTTCCTGCAAATGCAGTAATTTAAACACGACAAAACCCAATCCAAAGAACTAAACTAAAAATAAAAAGGTACAGCTCTAATCCTGTTTATCAGACCTCAAGTGCCCTCTCTACCAACTGAATGCAGGAGCCTCATTTCTGAGTAATCATTTCCTATTGTTTTAGGCTGCATTTATGTGTCCAATTGTTTTTAAAGCTACAGTTTGTTTTTCCTGAAGAGCTGGTGTTCCAGTTAGCACAGAGCAGAAATAATGCTCAGCTTTCCAGGAGCACTGTGAAATGCAAGGAGTGTGGAGGAAACAGGAGCTGCAGCTGTGCCAGCCCCAGAGCCCCAGTAACCCTAAACTCGAGTTCACCCAGCCCCAGCAGGGTGATCTATCTGCTGATCCACAGCCAATAAAGAGGCTCTGGTTGGAGTTCAGAGCTGTTTACTACTGCTGCTATTTAATGCCCTGGGAGAGCAGAAGGAGCAGAGGAATGCATCTTCAGGCACCACCAGGACGGGTTTATGTCCCACGTGGGGACAGCTGTGACAAGCCCAGCCCATCAAACAGGTGGAGAAAGGAGCAGAATGTGCCAGCAAGCAGGAGATCTGTGTGTGCTGCTGTGGCACTGCAGGCTGCCCTCCTCTGAAAGGCAACCAACACTGGGAGAGAATATATAAATCTACAATATTTATATATTTTATATTCTTTAGATATCTATCTATAGCTGTCTGATTAAACACATGAATTTAACCTTTTTGTTTTCCATTTTGCCCATTTAATATGTTAACTGCAGACATGTATCTAGGTTTGGTGGTGGGGTTGGGTTTTTTGCTGCTGTCACCTTTGGGGGTGGGTTGTTTAGGTTTCCTTTTTCCTTTACTTCTCCTTTCTAATTCAACACATAAGAGATCTTGCTAAGTCTTATCCCTGCTACTTTTCCCAGCTTCCCATCCCTTTCAAACCTGAAACTTTTTCATGTGTCTCCAGCTCTGATAAAGTTACTGACTGACAAAGTAACAACAGCTTTCCCCTTCATGCCTTTCCAAAACATGTATATCAGTAATTTGAGTGGTTTGGGGTTTTTTTAAACAAAGTAAGATAAAAATTAAAAGTAACTTTCCTTCCCCCTTTTTCCCCCTACCCAGGAAACTGATACAGAAAATGTTTGGATTGGTTTGCTTGCCTTTTCTTGTTTTTCTTTTGGCCAGAAAGTTGTTTGCTCTAGAAGTTAACTGTGCATCCAGCAACATGTCACAAACAGATTCTGTCACAAAAAGATTCTGATATGGAAATACTGATTAGAAATACTGATATTCTTCCTGTTTCCCCTCTATTACTTTTACAGTAAAAACTTCAACCAGAATTGCAATCAGCATTTGGAATATTGCTTTGTTGCCAAAATCTTCAAACATATGCCCTACAATTAATTTCTAATGACAACATATATATAGAAATATTGAAGCTACTTTTGGCTGTGTTAGACATGCATTTATCTCTATATAGCTCACCTGTAATTAAGCTGAAGTTATTTATACATAAGAAAACTCAACAGAGCTATGTGGGAGTCAGAACCCCATTAATGGGACAGACAGTAAGTGTCACATCTTTGCTTTATGTTGGAATTATTCAGTAGGTTCCTATAAAACAACTTGTGACCATGAAAATTGTTTTAAAGCAAGAAAACAGAATGCTAGAACTTTATCTTTTATAACTGCTACAGACCACAAAATCCACTTCAAAAAGAAACATCGTGAAAGCCAACATAATCCCATGAAACTTCTCTGATTTGACAAAAAGAAATATTTTGGAGAACCTTCACTGGCACACTTCCAACCAGCTCTCCCTAAAAAATCTGCTGTATCCTTTGACAGTGATAGCAAACATACAGTTGTGTTCTAAAAATCTCTTTTCTCCTCAGGGTGATATTGCCTCATGTTATACAGAGTGAAAGAAATGACAGCAACAAGTTTAGCTCATGGAAATGCAAGTGTATATTCCAGTTTAGAGTGTAAGGGGTGATGGGAAAGGCACTGATAAAATACAGAGGGGAAAAATAATTAGCTGAGAAACTGCAAAGGTCTTTTGACCCTACAGAGTGCCTACAACAGTGTCTCAGAATGCTGCTGAGCCATCAGAAGGATGTGAAGACACCTTTTGCACCATTAGAGCAAATTTGCACTGATGACTTTACCTTTCCACAACATCCTCTCCATTCCAGCAGGTCGAGCTGTCTCTCATCACCAGGTCTCCATCGCAGAGCCTTTCTGCTAGAGAGGCATAAAAGGTCCGGGAGCGCTTCATGTAATTGATGAACTCTCTGCAATGCAGGAAGAGCACATTTAACAACACAACAGGAAACTCAGCACTAAAACCCCCTGCCAGCCCGACCCTCCACCACATCAACACTTCAGAAAACAAGAAGTCTGAATTAATTGCTATTTTTAGTATATTTTTACTCCTTATAGATCATCCAATTTTACTTACTTTACTTTTAACACATGGTCTTAACATGTATCTCACTAAATCTGAAAAAAGGCTACACCTACACTTTATAAACAGATTAAAAAACACTGAGAAAACATCATCATGAAAGACAGTGTATTTCTGATGAATGTGTATGGAAAAATGCCTCGAGGGCAAACTGTTACCTCTTTTATAATCTGATTATTCCTATAATACATTCCTGGCTGAGGTAGCCATGAAACAAACGAACAAAACAAGTGTTAATTCAGCACACAACTGAGAGGATTTCAGGATGAGGAATGGCCCTGCTGCAGTGTTTTAGAAGCTCGTGTTTGGAATGTTACAGCTATGGAGAACAAGACTCAGGACACAGGCTGAGCCAGAGCTATCACTGGGCTCTCAGCTTGTCCCAGAGCTCCACTGGGGAGGCCACAGCACCTGCTGTGCTTTGCAGGGTTTCAGCCTGGCAGGCACTGGAGGGGTCCCTGGGGTACAGCTGGGTGCAGCTCAGCACAAAGCAGTCAGCATTCAGCACTCCTCAGCAGCAACAGGTGCTTCCCACAACACCAGATCCTCTGGGAAATACCTGTCCCTGCGAGCCTGGGGCACTGCTCATCTCTCCCCACATATATAAAACCATCTCTATACTTCCTCAGAAGTGTTTAACCATCCCATTGACCCTCCGTGATGAAATCCTGCTCTAGATAAATCAGTCATCAAATGCTCCCAAGAAACTAACTGAGCCTAACAGAGCAGGAAAGCTGGGAGTTAAAGCAAAGAAAAAAGCAGGAATTTGGGGGCTTACAAAGAGGTAATCAACATTTCTACCTCTTGACTACCAACGTACAAACATGAGCTCTGAGTATTTCTAGAGTAAAGGTTGCCTGGCAGAACAACCTAAGAGGATCAAAAGTTCCAAAAGGAAACACAAAAATTCTAAAGATTTCACAGCTTCTAAATCAGTCTTCTTTGAAGGAGGAAACCAGCATCCTTTTCAGAGCCTGAAGTTTGCCTTACTCAGCTCACCCCTAGAGGTTTAAACTCCTTTGCATTCTCAGCAGAGTGGGGCTCTGACATTTCAAAGCAGTATCTCAGCAAATGCAGAATTCTCTGTCCTATTCTCAGTCTTACTGAGTGAAAATATTTACTTTTCATCACTATAAAACTAAACACACTAGGGGAGAAAATGCAGAGTTTCCCAGTGGCCCACAATGTAAAAGCAGCAATCAGAAGTATTCCAGCTCCTAGATTACAGCTGGAGATGAGCTAGGTGCAGAGATAACAAAGGATGTCACCTCGTTTTCATTCTTACCGAGAGATTTTTTTCAAACTTCTTGATTTGTCATTCTTTGAAGCTTTCAGAGGCAGAGAACTGGAATAGGCCGGGGAGAATAAGCATCAATCAGGAGAGGTTGGTGAGTAGGGGAGAAGCAGGAATTCAGGCAAATGAGGAAAAGAAATGAGAAACAAAAGAGAAAAGTAAAAATTATTTGAAAGAAAAGTCATCAAGCACATGCATAGGACAATATAAGAAAATAAATAAGGAGGAAAATTATCATGAGATTTTTGCAAAGTATACATGCAATCAAAAATGTCAATTCAATACTGGAAAAAAGTACAACTGAGACTGCTTGTCCCAATCATTTTCAAGTAAGAGCAGAATTACAAATGCAGCACACACAGCAGAAAGCTGAAAATAAATTCAGTGGTACTTAAATTTAAGTGCAACTGATACCAAATGGAAGGACTGTAAATACATGAAGCTGCACAAGAAAACAATGGCAAACAGTTTAGAATGAGAACCACGGGAAGGGGGATACAAACCAGTAGCATTCATGTTCTGGTACAATGAGCTATTTACTGCCTGTTAATAAATAATATAAATACAGGTCTTTTTTGCTGTTCTGGCATTGCACCACTGAAAAAACACCCAACTTTGCCAAACTGGAGATAGAGACTTTCAGGCTGTAGTGGAGGAAGAAGTGTGGAAATAACCTGGTGATTATTTGGTGTCAGGATGCAGCTCTGCCACCACAGCTCTGAGCTGATGGCAGCAGTGGCCCCAGCACACGAGGGACTGCACTGACCTTCAGGTGAGGGGCACCTGCCTGCAGGAATTCCAACACAGCCACTCAAAAATCACAATCTGTAACAGGCAGAATCTGGATCAGCTGAAACTTTGGCCCTGGCCAGTGGTTCACGTACATCTGACATTCATTATCTGGTTTGTACTAGCACTTTATTACTGAGATGCTAATAAAATCATGTGATGTCTGACCCAACAGATAGATTATTTTAAACGAAATAGATATCATTGCCTTCAAACATTCCCAAAGGAATTCCTACATTGTTGATTTTAAGATGTATAAAAGAGCTGTAAATTTTTGGCACAATAAAGAAATCCCAAAACAAAATATAATTTCAAAGCCTTCTTCCTCCAGTCAGGGACCTCATATGCTATAGTTCTTTGTTAAACACATTTTATATACAGCTCTGTAACCAGTCTGTTTAGTGGTTTGAAATGTTCCATGGAGCAGAGATGCTATAAGGCAGGTATTCAACTTTGCTGGGAGAGCAGACCCTGAGCAGAACAGTTCTTTGTGCTGAACTCAGCAATAACATTCCAATTTACTGAGATTCTGTGCATGCCATTTACATTCCCTGTCCCATCATATGGTTTCAATTTTCTTGTCATCTCTATTACATGTTATAGTAACCTCCACATTAAAAAATGACTACAGCAGCAACACTGCCAGTTTCAGTTAATCCCTGACTACGAATGTGTAATGGTAAAAAAAAAATAATAATCAATTTTATGCTTTCCAGTTTAATCATAGGAAATGGTTTCCTGCAAGATCATGCAAGTCAAGTTTCAGCTTCTCTCATTATTGTCCCTGACATTTAAGTGATGCATAACAAAAAATATGCAGGAATGGAATGCAGAGTAAAATCAAGAGAGATGGGAAATCTCCCAGGGACTCATAAAAGTAAGAGCAGGAGAAAAGGGTTCAACTACTGCAAAAGAGGATCCAGTTGTTCTGTGCAGATGTGGCTGTGCAGGAGAGTGAAGGGTGAGGAGGGCTGGCTCCAGCCACACCCCAAACTCCTTCCCCCAAGAACCATGTCAGGCCAAGGGACACCATTTAACAACTCCACTTGCCCTGTACCAGCAGCCCTGGCTCTGTCCACAGCTGAAACCAGAGGTTCTCCAACTCCTTGGAAAAGGAGCCTGGTTTTTCACATGGGCTAGCAGAGACCCAACAGCTCTGGAGCAAACATCCATCTGCAGCTCTCTGGCACTGCGGTCTGAAGGGCAGCTCTGAGCAGGCTGCACACAAGAGAGCAGAGGCCACTTGATTGTGGCTTCTCCTCCAGATGTGCCAACCACAGAGGTTCTTTCTTCTCTGAGCTTGGGAATGCTCTGATACATAAGGAATGAGCCACAGCTCTTCTGTTTACTTGGAGAGTGTTGGCTCACTCCTTCCTTTATTTCTTCCTTACTCTAAAAGGCTGCAATTGTGTTCCATACTCCCCTTGAATTAATGATCATTTAGAAGAATGTCTATCACCCAGACCTACAGACAGACCCAGCAGGGCCAGGGTGACCTTGAACCTGAACTGACACAGCTCACATTGCTGCTCTCCATTTCTTAAAATCACCAGAAGTAGGGGCTTCACAAAAGATTCATGTAATTACTCTCATCATCTGGTTCCTCTGAAGCAATTTTCTGTCACTCTAAGTGCATTTTACACAACCCACTGCAGAAATTATTTTACCCATGTATTAGAGGTTTTTATCACCTTAAATTGATTTTTATTGATATCATATGTGATTAAATGATGGAGAATGAACAACACAGTGATGCAGCCAATCACTGTGTCTTTCACTCTATGGTTTCACAATTGTTTCCAAGAAGCAGAAGTACAAGCTTCAGGCCATGTGTTTTATAGGAAGTTGTGGAGAATGGATTCAAATTTTCCACTTCTTACTATTTATGGCATATTTCCATCATTCATTTTTGGTGCACAAGCTCTCCACAATACCTATCAACACTGTAATTCAGCAATTTTTCACGCTTATTATGTAAGCAGGAACTTAGTTTAGATTTTTGGATAAATTAATTTTGGGTGTGCAGACCAATTCTGGCAAACTGTCTAATTTACAACACATGAGTTTATTTTCTCTTCCATCTACAAACCTTACATTTTAGAAGGTCAATATCCAAGTAAGTCTAGATGGTAGAGAAGGGGAGGAAGCAGATCCTCAGGTGAGAAAGAGCTGCTTTTGTGGCATTGAAGACACAAATATGCAACTTTTTAAGAGATCACCTGTTGACAGGTTGGCAATTCTGGCTTTTGGGCTGCTAGTTAAGCCCCAGCCAAGTCAGTGAGTCACACAGAAGATGGCCCAGGGCTCTGTGCTGCTAAAAGCCCATTTCAATAATTGTACTACAACTGTTCTTTCAATTTTTACACTCAAGTTATTAATTTAATTTCTGTAATGCTCCTTTTTTCTGATTTGCATGGTAAAAATTGATTAACTCCAAGCACTAGCACAAACTGTTATGGTTTGCTTTTAATTTACAAAAGGATTAAAAATTATCAGTATAGCTCAGAAAACTTCACTTGCTGTTATTACTTTTATCTTTAAAAACAGTGTTTGTTCCATTCATGCAAGCTGAGAATTAAAAGAGAAATGGATAACAATCTCATGTTCACAAGTGAAACTCCAGAAGCCAGCTGTGGACATTTCAGCATTGCTGTCATCCCTTTATCCAACAGACAGAGACACACACAGGCTGCCTGGGCACTTTTGGTGCTGCTTTTGGACAGAGGTGAGCCCAGCACGACTGCACTGCTGTGGCTTGTTGCAGATTAACTGTGCTCTCACAGAACACAACGTGCCAGCCAGAAACAGGCACTGGGGGTTTAGGGGCAGTTTGCTCTGACATCTACCTGTGTACTGTGAGTGGGATTGCAAAAAAAATCCTTTCCTAGAATGTACAGAAAGCCAATTCAGGAGCTACACAAGGTGAAGTGACAGAAAACCACAGGAGATGTGGGAGCAGGGATACTGCTGTCCAGGCCCGTGGCAGGACTCAGCTGTAGGTGTCTCAGAAGCCAAGGCAGACACAAAAAGCCTAAAAAACTCCTTCAGCTCCTTCTCTGTGATGTAACACATCAAGGAGATTCCAAAGGATCTTATCACTCTTATCTGCCCAGTCCAGTGGAACCAGGGACTGACTTGGTGTTGGGAAAATGAATCTTTCCTTCTCAGCCCTTCCTCCTTCCCACTTCTACCCATGGGTAAGCTCGTGTCCTTACACACCTGGGGAGTTACATTTTAAATACTTTAGACTCAGCTGTGGAAATCCATTTTCTCAGACTTCGTTGAGGAAAAGCTTTCACCATTTTCACTGGAAGATTCTGGAAATGATGAACACCTTGGTGTTAAGCAATGATACCAAGTCTGGCCTTTCTTGGAGAGACCCACAATGTGATGCCACAGAGTCACCTGTGTGACTGCCAGTGATGGCAGTGGCTGGAGAGCACACACAGGAGGTGACAGAGCTGGGCTTTGGCTTTAACAGTGCAAAGAACCAAGAGCACAGATTACGAGGTTGAGGGCTTGTTTCAAAACAACTGCAGCCTAGGGTTACCTTCTTTTATTGTTCAGGCTGGTGTGAGCCATCACAAATGTCTGGGTTTCAGTCACTTCCTTCACTGGCACAATATTGGCTGATGACAGGTTCCCTTCTTGCTGTCTGGGCTGTCCACACACTTTATCGACCTGCAGGAAAGGGAGGGAAAGGAAAACGGGATGTGAGTGAAAAAGAAATATTTACAAACCCACAGAAGTCTGCCTGTTCCTTTCAGTCAGTGTTCACTGCAGAGATACTGGGTGAGAGAAAGGAAGGAGAGGAAGGATTCTTCCTTCAAGCAGCTGGAAACAAATGCCTTGCCAAAGAAGGACCAAATTCCACGGCAGGGCAAAGAACACCAGGAAGTGAGCAGCCATGGATTTCTCAGGGGCTCCCTGGACTACAGCACACTTGGCAAGGCTGAAGTATTGAGTGATGAAGTATTGGCAAATTAAACTTTTATTTAGAAACATACCTGGAGCTTAAAGTGCCCGGATTTTGGTGGAACATCTGCCCCATGCATTAAGAGCAGAGTCTATCTGGAGTTTGAAGGGGCCTGTAATCAGAAGATAACCAACTCTTCCAGCCTTTAACCAGGCCACATAACATCACTCAGTCCTCACTGCCCTTCCCAAAGCCTCTCACAGGGATTTAGTATCAGTCCAGGAGAAAAGAAGCTTGTGTTTATCCTTTCTGCACCGTGGATCCGACATTGCTCCTGTATCCTGACACATTTATTTGCAGTAACAGCTTGAAGTGACAACAGGAAGACAAGTCTCTTCCCTTCTAATCCACAAATGAGAAACCTGGCATGTTTTACCTACACTTAAATCCCTCAGCAAACACGAAGAGACCACAAAGGAAATCCTACTGAGCATGGTACCACCAATGACCTGAATCCCACAGAACCCACCATCCCACACAGCTGTGGGTTTGGGATCCCTTCTTTCAGTGACCAGCCAGGGTCAGATGGATTTTCACTGCTCTGTGCACTTCCCTGCATCTTTAGAACCCTTAGGAGTCTGCTGAGTGTTTCAGCCCACATCTGTCCCTGTGCACACTATGATGCAGATGTCAGCAAAAGCACAGGACAATTTTCTCTGCCTTAGCCCATTTCCTGCAGAAAAACTACAACTATGTGAAGCTAAGTCATCCTCCTCTGAACAAACAGACAAACAATGTGGGAAATTGGAAGCTCTGAAGGCATGACAGTTACTGGCAGCTTTATTGTATGAGTTCCAGTATAATATGTTATGAAGAAGCTAAAACTGCAGCAATTGAATGGGAACATCCTGGATTAATCCTGAGCCATCTGCAGCAGCCAGGGTGGGAGCCAGCTGCCTCACTCAACACCCCACACTGACTATACTGGTCTGGTCTCACCAGAGACTAGCATAGAATTGTTTTAAAACACCACTTTGAGAAATTAAATAGTCTGTGTCAGTCCCTTCTAAAACAGGAAAAAACCCTCACTCTGCAAATGAAAATATAAAATAAAAAGGCCTTTTGAACCCTCTGGAGCTGGACAGAGGGTATAACACAGCTGGACCACATTCCTGCACAGGATGCTTTCTCCCCTCCACCCCAGGCTTCCCAGGTCTCCTACAGCACACAGACCCAATTCCCAGCATAGGTCTCTGCTAAATCCATCTCAGATTACATCATGTCACTAAAATTCATGTCTTCAGATTACATACACCTCCAATCTTGTCACTATGCATCTGAGACAGTTTTCACCAACTAAAATCAGAGTGGTTTGCAAAAGCAATGAGGTTCTCATACACATAAGCAATGGAGAACTTCCAAGCTTTTTGTTTTTCCTGAGAGAAGATTCGAAGATATTTAAGTCATCGTTTCTGTTGTGACTCAACAGTTTAAGCATCCAACTGAAAACACCAACTTTGTTTTGATTTGAATTTTTGATACTCTAGAAATGACTCCTTAGATTGCCCAGGTTTCAGTATTTTCTATACTAAACCTATGCTTTAGGGCTTTCTTTTTAAGCAGTAGGAACAGTTTCCTGCATATCAAACAAAACCACATTATTTGAAGGAAAAAAATATTTTCTCCTCAGTGAAAAATTTTAACCAGTTCTACTCCATTAAGAATAAAGTTATCTGTTATACAAAAGAGAAAATCACACTTCTTTTGTCACACAGGCTTTTCAGTGCCTTTCTTCTCAGTCCAGCTGCCCCAGCTGCTCCCAGGCCAGGCAGTCCCAGCAGCCTCTGCTGGGGGGTTATCCCTGTTTGGCATATTTGTTTCAGATTTTGAATGAGTTAAATAGAAACCTGGCTTTCAATTTCTTTTGTTTTTTTTTTTTTCATGTCGACTAATTTTCACATGTCTCTGACATAAATAAAAATAAAACAAAAGAAAAGCCTGAATTTGACCCGCTAATTTGAGCAGTCACAAAACTGATGGCACAAACAAAAATACTCATGTATGAAAAACCATCTCAACTTCTAGATGGGCCATTGATGAAAAATAAGATAACGTTGTGTGTAAATTGAAAAGCACGAGGCACGCCATAAAAAAGTCAAAAAGGTGTTTCCTGGAGCTGCAGCATCTGGAATGTGCTGCTGCAAGTTCCCTGTGTGTGAACAGGGAGGGAGGGGCACAGAGTTTCCCTCCCATCCTAAAGGCACTGCCACTTCAACCCAGAGCTCATCACTCAAGCCTCACCAGCCACAGCAACAACAGTGCCCCTGCAAATGGGGACTGGAACTGTAAAGCTCTTACCCCGATTTCAAGGTCTAGCACTTGGAATAATCAGGAATCAACATAAAGAATGGCTGAGCCCATTTCTTGGATTTTTCAACTTAAAAGAAGTCTGCTAATGTTAAATTACAAACTGACAGAAAATCACGCCTTGCTAATGGCAGGACCCTGAGGTCATTCTGCTTTTCCCTGCCATGGTATTCAAGCACTGTTTTCTAACAGTGAACACCTACAGCTAAACCTGGCATTCCTCCTGCCTCCTCATCTTCTCAATTAGTAATCATGTTCCACAGTCCTAACGTTTTCAATCATATTAAAGCTCTTTTCTTATACAGCAATGATTCCTCTTAAATATCTGTTTTTCTAGCCATAGCTCTGAATTCTTCTTGGTAATGAAAAGCACAATCATATATATATACATTTTTTTACCTCTTACTATTTATTATTTAAAAGAATGACTATTTACAATTATTACAGAGGCTTAACAAAATAAATGGAAAAATTCTCATCCAAAATCTTTTTGAACTCTTACAGCTTCAGTAACCTTAAACATTGAGGTCATATTTAATATATTTGATATAATCAAACATGGGAAAAATGTCATGCCCTTCTAGATACCAAGAGAATCTTATCTCTCTAAAGCAGGAGACCTTTTCACTAGTTGAGAACAGTAATTTTCTTTGATTTTGCAACTGGCAGATTAGTGTTTTAAAACACAAGATTTTCCCAGTGATTGGGCTTTGACTTGTTATTATTAAAATGCTGACACATTTGCCTGCAGGTTTCTGTCCCTCAGTTTGTCCCCAGCCCAGCCCTGTAGAACACCTCTGACAAATTCCACCTCCAGCCCCAATTCCAGCACTGCTGTGCCCCACAGGAGCCACAAAGACTCTTCAAAGCACAACTGGAGTTTGCTCCAATTCAGGTTCCAGCTGCCAAGTCTGAAGTGAAGGGAGGGAAGTGAGAAACACTGAATTATGGGGAAATCAGATTGGAGTTTTCAGACTTTCAAGTTCACCAGGAGCTCTCACTTGCTCAGGGTCAGAGATGTCCTTCTATCACCTGATCACCCACAGTAAAAGAAACCAATATAGTATATTGATTTTATGCTGTTAAAGCATCAACCAGAGCTTATTGTGGAAACACAGAATCCTCTCCTTGGGGTGGCTGTCACCTGCTACTGAAGTATTGTTGTAAAACATTAATTTCCAGTGCTCAAAGCTATGTGGGAGCCCATCTGATAAAATGCAAGACAGGGCTCATGGCTCACTGCCTTTACCTTATTGAACAAAATCAGTCAAGAGAGCAAATAACCTCGGATTTGCCTTCTTTTAAATATTCCCTCCCTTGTGGAATATGTTTCCTACTATAAGCATTTTGCTGGTAGCAGAGTTGAGCAATACATAAACAAACCAAGGGATTATTGGCTCATTTTCCTACAGGAATATGTTGGCTTTCAGTTGGGATGGAAGCATTCTCTTCTCTCTCATCTTGAATCTACTGAATAGTTCAATTTAAATTAATTTCCTACAAATCTTCTGAAATCTGGCAGCTAGAGAAGCTGACCCTTAGTAGAGATTCCTCCAAAGATAATGGAGTTAGGAATTCCTCAGGGACAGAAAAACCTGTCAGACTTCACATTTAGACATCAAAAAAATCAGCCATAGAATTTAAATCCATAAAAAATAAGGTTCTGTGTGTTCTGTCTATGGCAGAAGAGATTCTTTCAGGTACCAGCACTGGGCACAGGGAGTGGACAAATTCTGCAGCAGTTATTCAAATGAATCAAATTCTAGCCCAGATGAAAGTACAAATGATGAGAATGTGGAGCTTTGCTCTATAACACCATTAAGAGAGAATGTTGAGATAACCTGTGCTGGGCGTGCCACAAAGCTGCATCTGAATGCACTCACACAGCCTTTATTCACAGAGAGAACAGGCAAGAATTCCTGGAAAAATGTAAAATAAAGAAATACCTTACATAACAGCAGGCATTTCGAGAATTCCACACAGTTTGTATCAAACAAACTTTTACCATAAATTACAGTGCTGTTATTTCTGCTCTCACTATCTTTTAAAATTCCATATTCTGTACCCACACTGCATCTCCACAGCTACAATCTTTTAAGCACATGTAAGTCAGTAATATTGTCTATTTTGTTAGGATTTTTTCAAAATATTTTTCTTCCAACTGTATATATATTTAACCAGCTGAACAGAGAAGTGGTAATTATTTATAAAGCCAAAACAAAATAGCAGCAGCCCCTGAGAGGTCAAATGGTATCTCCCCTTCTCCTGCACAATCCCCCCTAGACTCAGCACTAATCTTCACTGGCCTTTGTTACTTGTGACATTTGTCCTTAGATATTGACAACCTACAAAGGTTAAGCTCAATTTTATAATTAATTACAATAATCTAGTATGAAAA